TCCCACAAATCCTCCCTGGAGAGCGTGATGGAGACTCCCCAGCACCAAACTCATCGATACAACTGCAAAGAGGTCAGGAGGGTGCAAGATTGCATCCTCTCAGTTGTGCAAACCTTCACCAAGCAAGTCCTTGCTGGCCCTGTGCATGTTATCTTAGCCCTATACTGGGGAAACTCCACCAGGAAAGGCTCCAGGATCAGTGATCAGCCAACAGCCCACTGCTTGAGGAAGCTTCAAGTGAGTGCACCGTCAGATAGCCCACAAGCTCAGCTAGTTTTCCCCACTGACATCTTTGTAACTTTTCCTTTTGGGGACGAGACAGGACAGGGGAACACACCAGCTATTTTTCCATCGTCTTCTCCCCACCTCCACCCGTCAAATCCTTCCAAAATTAAGCAGAGACATGATCATTCCCATCTACAGCTCAGACGTAACCAGTGTCAGCCTGCACGTCACAGCCTCTAGTTAACGCTGGAATTTTCTTTGCATGCAAATGATTAGCCTATTTGCTAGCTGTCATGAAATGTGTTTTTCCTTCTATGTACACAGGGCTTTAGAGTATTTAATTTTGACTGATTTCTGGCTATATATTCATGAGCAAGGAATTCAGCTCTAAGCCACAGTAATATATAATACATAAAAGTGCAAGTAAACATGGCCATGAAGGACCTGTTTCAGCCCCTGAATGGAGGGAGATAGCTCTTCTGTTGCAATGTTTTTTCCTTTTTGCAGACACACAGAGCACATAAAGGTTCTCAGATCTGCACATTTACTTGCTGGATGTCTGGGGATACAACATTTTGTATAATCTAGCACGAATATCAAAGCTGCTGTTAGACACCCAGACAGCGTCCATGCTTTGAATGACTCGTGTCTTGTATTTTCCCTTCTCTCCTCATTATTGCAGCAAAGCAAAAGCCAGAAAAGCTTGCAACAGACACAAATACATAGCAATGTTCTCAATTAAAGGGGAGGAAGATGTGCATGATGGTAAAATGTGTTGTGTTTTTTTTCCCTTCCAGTAAAAAGTAATTCTGTACTCTGTCTCTTCATCAGCATCTCTTGTCTCTCCATTGGGCAAAAAGCATGTAGACAACTCTCCATGACTGCTGTGTCTACAACAAGAAACCCCATACAAGAGATGTGCTCTAGCATGCACAAAACCCCACACACATGCTGGAGTTTTGCACGGTAATACATTGGCCAAGGTTTTCATGACCAGCACATCGTGACTTCATCTTCTTCACTGGTAGCAGCTCCAGACCAAAATCAAAGCACACTCTTATCAAGTCCCAGTTCTGGAGCCACGCTTCGGTCCCACCCTGACTCACTTAGCTGCCCTTGTTTATGGGTTTTGAAGTCTGTCAGAAGGGTACAGAATTTCTCATTAGGTTTTACACAAACATAATTTAATAGGCAGTTCCTTGGCTACGGCGTGTCTGAGACTGCCTCACTTGAGGGAGGTTAGCTATTCTGCAGCAAAAGCCAGCCTCCAGCAGCCCAAATTGCTGTGTCTGGTGCTGGCAGGGACTGCAGAGATCTCAACAAGGGGAAACCTGAGGCACAAGGATGCTCACAGGTCCCAGGGCTGTGTGGCCCAAACTGCACCGAAGCCAAAACTGCACTTGCAGGCACTAGGGACATTCAGAGAATCAGATGGCATTTATAACCGAAGCACCATCTGACACCAATCTGTGTTTAAGCATAGGGGTGCTTAAACAATGCATTTTACTGTGTAGCTTGAGCAGATTCCCCTAGAAATACAGCAAAAAACACCCAGACCTTGGGCAACCCACCTCTTTTCTGTATTAAAATAGAATAAGAGGAACCAGAAATGGGGAACACGTGTCATTGTGTGCAAGCACCTACACATACAAAGAGATCTAGGAAACAGCATCAACAAAATATTATTTTATACAGCTACATTTTATATTTGAAAGTGTGTTTGCAATGCAGTTAACCTAGTCGTGCTATCAAGCCTTCACTCAGCACCTCTGCTCCTCCCTGGAAGATGAGGAGTTGGAAAAGTCCCACTTCAGTAGGAAGTACAATTTGAGATGCTATCTTTTTTATTTTTTTTTAAGAGCATTTTAATATCTGCCAGTAATGATCTACTTCATGAATGTAATGCCCACTCAGTTCCCACCAAGTTGAAAACGTTTACGAGACAGAAAAAAGATTACTGAACACTATTTTCTTACTGATCAGCACAATGCTATTTGGCACAGGCACCTCTGTAAATATTTGTCCAGCACTGGGTAAATTTGCAGTGTATGATGGCCCTCCGACCTGTACTTCTCTCTGTCAGGTTAGAAGGCTCACAGTCGAGCACCGGAGCTCAGCTTGGGCAGAAATACAACACGATGGAGGCAGACCTTGGTGTCACTGCTGTCCTTCCCTTACGATCTGTTCCTTTTTGGTTCGTTCAGCGTTCCCCTTCACAAACAAAAAGATTAATTTTGAGGTGGAGTGATTATAAGGTTATTCCTGGCTGTTGTGTAACGAAGGGAATTTGTTCAGTGCATTACACCAGGCCAGCCTTTGGCACGGGGAAGCCAGAGGAGGGAACTGTACCCATCCTCCGTGAGCATGCGGAGGAGAAGGGCAGACCCAGCCTCACCAAGCTGGAGGCAATGTCTCCTCTGCCGTGTGCCAGGAGGTCCGATGGACTCGGTTCACGGCGACACTGGCAGCCTGCCACGGTGTTTTGTTCACATGTGCTTGTGATCATGGGCCTGGAGCTGTAATTACAGTCTCAGATTTCACAATACTACCAGCCCAGGAGATATTTATGGATCTGATATGTAGGATCTATCAGCATCGTGGAGTCTCACGCATATTCAAGAAAACTCCCCGCTCACAAAGAGGGTCAGCAAGTCTCTCGCAGTTTCTTTAAACCACACATTCAAGCAATACCCTTCGCTGGCTCACACCACTAAAAGGCACTGCAGTGTCTGGACCAGGCAGATTACAGGCACAGGGCTCCTATGACAGATATTATCACCAGTGTACTAATGAACGGGGAATCAGGTTAAGTATTAGTGCTGCTTGTTCTGCTGTAAAGCGACTTGCTGCTTTCCGTAGTTGCATTTTAAACTGAAGATGTTAATAAGGTCAAGTACATACTTTCCCCCTCCAACAGAAGAGAAAGGTCAGACAGCCACTTCCACATTGTTCATTTGTTTTTACAAAGCTTATGCAGCATTTAGAGAACAGTGTAATCCAAGAACCGAGCTAAAGAGGAACAACTCCGTATCGCTGGCTATTTATATTATTCACTTCTGCTCCAAAGTACACCACTGCACAGACAAAATTACCAAAATGTCACCATATGCAGGGAAGAAGAGTGCCTGTCGGTGAGGAGCACACAGGATACAGTGAGACATGGGGAACAGAAACAAGCAAGTTGCCAAATGCTGTTCCTACACGAAGTGTAGGGAGGTTTCCATGTCCTTATGTAAGTCAACAGTGCCGTGTGTTAAATACCCCCACCAGACAGTAAGAAGCCTGGCAGAAAAGGAGTCTGAGTCTCATCATACTGGCTTGGCTCTGGAATAGCTCCAGCTTCTTCTGAAGGAATACTTCCCACTTCACCACGGCTCTAGATGCTCTGCAAACACATTCCTCCCTAATCCATAACGTAAAGCATTGCTTTCAGGATCATCACTACAGCCATCGCCTTTCCAGCGTGCTGTATTTTTTCCAAGGCTCCCTGTGAGAAGGGCTTCAGCCACTTTCATGCTGTGACAACAACCCATACACCCACTCACATTTTCAGGCATGGACAAGCCCTAAACAGGAGGAGGATCAGGCCAATATATTTGTTCTGGAAAATATTGAAGGACAAGGTTTTAAAACTTCTGTTTCTAGACTTATTGCTATTCCAGCCCCTGTGCTTGCCCTTAACAAAGACCACTTGCCCTTCAGGCTGAGGGCAGCAAAACAGATCACGTTACTGTGCCTGCTCATGGCCAGCTCCAAAGCGGCACCGGGGTATTTCAGTCACAGCCTCTCTCTCTGCTCAAATGTACTTCTTAAAAGCATTCGCTGTTTTTACAGAGGATAGGAAGTCACCCTGTAATGTTTCCTTAACTATCGCCATCCTAAATATTTTACTACTTGCAGTACTCTCTACAAGGAGCATATTTGATATTGCCATACAGAGTTGGGAAGCAGAGTGCCTTTTTATTACAGAAAATACAGAGCCTTATAATAAGCCTGAGTGAAACATCTTCATTACCAAAGCAGCTTTGTACTGAGAAAGCCTGCCACTGGAAAAGAGAAAGCAGTACAAACATACTAAGAAATGCTATTTGCTGTTTAGTGCAAAAGAAACAGAAAAACTTAATGCATACTAGCAAACAGATCTATTGCATTTTTAGTATGTGTTTACCTAAACTACATAACCCTAGACCCTGAACAGTTTAGACCTGTACATTAAAAGACAGATAAGTATATTTTTTCCTTCCTGACAGCAGCCGTACCATACTGTGACATAAGGAACAGCTTTAAACCAGGAGGAAACCTGAATTTTAAACTCGGGCTCCCTCCGACCTAATCTGATGTGTCTTCAGCATGAAGTGAGTTCTTGTATGTAAGGTACAGCCGATATGACACAGTGTGCCATCTTAGCAACTGCTTCCCACACAGCTACATGTCCTAATACTGCTGCATTTTCAACCTCCTCGTAGAGATATTCCTTTAAAAGTTCCACTGTCAGAAGTAATTTCACCCTCCTGGGCAGTACCTCACATCTATTTCGTTTTCTGTGCCTTTAATCGTCCAGACTCCAAGACTGCCTTTTTGCCTCAGTCCTACGCACCACACAGCTCAGTTTTAGCCAAACCAGGAATAATATTTATTCTAGCTCTTCAATCACTCTATTCCTCACCTTTTCTGCCAGCTAGACCTTTTCTATTTTCTAAGCAAATGTCGGTTTTCTGTTCCTTCATTATTTTTGCTAAGGAAAAAAAGAGGCAGAAAGCTATATTCCAACATACCTTGAAAGCAGAGCAGTCTTCGCTCCCAGCTGTTTGACTTTTCAATAGCTTCACTCACACTTCAGCGCTCCCAAGAATCATAATGTCACAACCACTGTAGCTCGCAATCAGAGGCAGAGGCAGATCCCTCTCACACACCCTTCCTCCCCTCCGTCTGTCTGACAGCTGTGCACTTTTTAGGACCGCAGCAGGACTTGCCTCCCGCTCCCTTCGCCACTCTGATAGCTAATCCCCTCCCTGCTATTAGGAGCACGCTGCCATTATATCTTAAAAGCACGCCACAGCTTGCATGCAGTAGCTGTGGGAAAGCTGCATTTATTTATACAGGAAGCTTGAGCACAGCACTTCCTACTTCCCATCCCAGGCTCAATGCAACTGCAGGTGATTGCTTACACCCTGCGAGTGCATGCCCCGTGTTCTCACGTGGATACCCGTGCCGCTTTTAACTCCCATCTGCGCCCTGGCAAGATCAAACCAAAGGAGATAAAGCATCAGAGGTGAGACCCCGCTTGCCATTGAACCTGCTTCAGGATAGCAGTTCGTGCAGCAGCCCACCTACCGGCAGGCGATGTCTGAGGCGCTGCTCCTCCTGCTTCTCTCCAGATGTGAAGAACGTGGGTCTAAAAGCAAAGTGATTGCTTCACGAGCAAAAAAATCCAAACTCCCAAGCAGCAGGGTAATTTCAAGTCCCGAGTGCCTGCGGTCAGCTCGCAGTGGCAATGCTACATTTCGGCTCTCAGCTGAGCTTGTGTGCAAGAGGGGAGGGAAATTCTGCAATTCGCTTCCCTAATCTTGCAGGTGTAATTCACACCCGCGAAGAAGCAGGAGAAGGTACGGTGGTGCCACATGACACCAAGTGCTCGGGAACTTTTCCTGCTGTAGGAAAGGTACCACACCCGCAGATACAAAGGAGAGATACATCCGAGTGCAGCGGGTGCAGCAAAACAGGGGGAGAAACAAGCCCAGATGCTAATCTCTAATTTTATTTTTATGGCGAAATAAATTTACTTTGTGCTTCATGCAATTATTACTGGCAGTTTGCCTTCGGTACTTTACTGGGAAGACTGAGGCACAGGCATTTCCTCAGGAGTTCACAGAAGCTCAGAACTGAGCTTTTGCCTATTTTCAGACAATTTTACTGCATCAGATGAATTTAAGGAAAAGGCAGGAAGCTCATGGCACCTTTATTCAGCTTACTGGCACCTCTGTGATACAGCTTTATTTAACAGCACGGACTATTTTCCCCTTGAAATAAGCACAAATTTTATCAGTCTATTTGACATTCCATCACCCAGGTACCTGTTCGGCAACAGATGAAGTGCAGCAAGGAAAACCTCCCTGCTCAGCCCCTGCGCCCAGCACCGCAGCACTTCAACAGCAGCAGGACAATCAGCTCCAGGAGGAGAGCGGTGCTGCAGGGAGGATGAAGGAAGTCACTCAAGCTGCTGTGGGGAAAATGGTAGGGTGGGAGGTGCAGAGGTAGAGCAGGGAAGCAGCCAGTAGCATCATCTGGTTGGTACTCACTCCTTGCTGGCACAATAAAACTGAACCAGGCTTCACTGCAATAGCATCCACCAGTCAAGAGAAACAACTGCAAATAAAGGCTAATCATCTTTTCAGATTTATGATTAGTCCTGCTCATATCTAGGGGAGCTGTTCTTCTGAATTAAGAAAACTTGATTAGCCTATTAAAATGCGGATAAATTCTGGAAAGATCCAGTTTCCTACTGCATCTCTCTCTGCATGGATACAGGACAATCACTTCCTGATGCTGGGTGGGCAGCTGGCTCTTCCCCTGCTCCCACCTTCAGTCCTGTGCCTGCCCCTGCCTCTGTGCCTACCCAGGACTGCTGCAGCAACGCGGAGCTGAAGGCGACGTGGCACCGTGCCAGGGCTATCAGGACTTGGGATGATCAATACCGATGATTCTTTCCCTCGCCGTCGCCAAAGGTCCTGAGCTGGACTGTTATGAGCTCTGCCATCAAAATGATTTCTCCTCCAGATGCACCTCAAGCCCAGGTACCTGAGAGTTTTATAGAAGCACATTTTCTTGGCAAGCTAATTTTGTGAAGTGTTATGAGTCATGCTGAAATTGCTACCCAGCTGAAATCCCTGAATCTCTTAACCCAGATTGATTGATTTCCTTTCTGAGCCAACAAATAAATAAAAAACACAAGTAGGGAATGTCACACAGTGCCAGTCACGGCAGAAACTGAGCCCTCCCCATTCACTGTCTTCTTCAATGGCAGTAGCACAAAGCACAAAACACAGAGGGTCTGCCTAAATTTTTGGCTGTTATAACTGACACTTTTCCAGCTCAGGGCTGGGGGAATCTGTGAGCCCCTGAGGTGGTACATGCCAAAGCACAGCATCACAGGGCATTTTCAGCTGAGTTAACAGCCAGAGTAAGAGTAAAGGTTGGCATAGTTAATTGGTAACATTGCTGTGTCATCCCAGCAGCTACTTGAAATACTTACAAAATGACTAAGCCGCCCTGGCATTAACTAAAATTACTAATTAATTTATGAGGTAGTTGGGTAAAAAAGTGATAGCATGACCCCTGAAATGCTCTCTCATACCCCACAAACAGAACGCCATTAACAGCAAATGTAAACACCAAGTTAGCGTAAAACTCAGTTTCATTATATTTCTAGGTAAGGAACCAGAATTAGCCTATCTGGAAAAAAAAATCACTACCCTGATTCAGTTTTTCAACTAATTAAAAAGATCCTGAAAAATAACTGCTAGCCATAGGTGTAAAATAAAAACAGGTTTTGTAACAAACGTCCTAAAACCAGAGCGTAACTCTCAGTAAAATGTCCTTATTCGTTTCACTTATTGTGCATGCAGATTATCCATTCTCCTATGCACAAAAATGTATTTTTATATGCAAGAGAAACAGTTTCACAAGAAGAATAGATACTGATGTGTAACATAACCAATGCTGAAAAAAAAAAAAGAAAAAAAAAAAAAGAAAGTTTTTTTACACAATGGGTATAAATATATTATCTGAAGTTGACAAGCATGACACCCCTCAGCTCATGGGCTATGGATAGTTTTCTTCAAGGGGAACTACTTCAAAGGAGGATTCCACCCTCAAAAGTCATTTGTGCTAGCTTCATGAAGTTACTACTTGAAAAAAAGCATCTTTATTCAACGTATATAGATTTATCACATAAGCAATGACAGAAATTAGATGTCAGTGCAAAAACACAGAGCTGTGTAATATTTTGCGTGCAGACAAGCTTTTCTCAGAACAGCTGCAAGAAAGTCAGGATCCCATCTTTTTCTGTTTAAATAACCCTTTTGTTCTACAACTCAGGCTCGGTATGCAAGTCACTCTCTGACAAGCCAGGCTTGAAATCTTCATTATTCCCTTCGGCTAAAAGATACTAAAACTTTATTATAAGGTGTTTTGTGGTGGAGTGAAATAAATCGAGTTCAATCGTTTTGAAAGAATAGTGGGTATAAACCTAAAGAGCTTTTTATTTTACAGCAAAAAAGTGAGTGGGATGGTGCGCTCTCTGCTGAACGTTCACAATGATGACCTCAAAACACGTGGATTTGTCTCAGACAGACATAGAGAAAAGCGGTAAGCTGACTGACAGTCATCCTGCTCTATGAATAAAACAAAATGCAAGTCATTACAACATGCTGGCACAGCCGACCCTCTCCAAAGAAAACACAACCACATGTCTTCCACAAATATCCGTATTTCTTCTCCACTGATACTTTCTCCTGTGTCTGTAATTTGAAATACTTCCTGAGATGTTGGAAATGAGCTGCTAGCATTTGCCCCACACAGAACAGTGCTGTATGAAAGAAGCCCAGCCTCACCAGAGGACAGTGAGAAGACAGCCTGCTACCCCAGCCAAACAGCTGTGCTTGGGGTGCTCAGAAATCCTGCTTTATGGGGCAGGGCTGATGGCTTTGACAGTACATTACTGGAGTGCCAGGTCCCAACTTGTCTTCTTGGGACCTGCAAGTATTAAGGGTATGTGTATTTTCCCCCACAAAAGATCCTGCTGATAGCGTAGGTCAGTTGGTGATATTGGCTTTTTTCCCCAGCAGCAGCTCTGCGTGCATTTTTAACTTCTACCAACTCCTGCCTGTTCACTAGGTGCATGAAGAGCCAGCCTGCAAAAAGAAAACCAGACGAGTCTGCCACAACTAAGACGCTGATGAATTTTTACTGAATGGCAAATATCCAGCCCAGGAACAGCCAGCACAACACCCTCAGCCTAGGGCTCATCCTCAGCCCCCTCTCCATACTCAGACACGAGGAAGAGACAGGCTACTGTCACCCTTCCCCCTGGGACAAGAGACATGCAAAAAGCACAGCCCCAAACCCTCCGGATGGGAAGCAGAGCTGGCACCTCGGTGACGTGATGACACTGCTTCACATGGCAGCAGAGGACGCAGGACACCTCATGGGCTCGGAGGTGACCCTGAGCAAACGGGGTGGCACACGTAGCTTCCCACACACCAGCACCACAACACGAGCTGCTGGGATAAAAATATCAAACTAAACAGCTTGCCTTGCTCTTGAGCTCAGGGATAACACATGCAGATATGGAGTTGCTCTGTTCCTCTGAGGGCCAGGAAACAGGTGAGAATTTATAGCTGCAAAAAGAGCAATTTATAAGGCTGTACCGAGAGGACCACATTGCATGCACACAAAGAGGAGACAGTGAAGTTTTCCTCCTGCTCTTCCTCAAAGTAAGCAGGTATTTTCGACAAGAGATTGTAGGGGAAAAAGTCAAGGCTTGGTTAAACGAATTTATTTTCTACCAGCTGTGCTCACAGATAGCTTCAGAGCATGGCACAGAATAAATTATGCAGTTGGTTTTGTTTTATTTTTTTCCTTTTGACTGCATGCCCAAAGTGACACAATTTGTTGACTTCTGACCAAGTGTTTTGGTAATGTACCTGGAATTGCAGTGATTCCAGACACTGGAATCACAGTTGCTTTAAAAACTGAGAGGGCAAAACCATACTGGCAGCCAGCACAGGAAGCTTCCTCTGCATCAGAGGGGGTCACCAACCTGTCCTTGTCATGAGAAAAAAATGTGCACACTGTTTTCTCAGTTTCTGCTGCTTCTCCTGTCCTGCCTCAAGTTGTTAGCTGCCCTTTTTTGGAAATGTTAAAAGGCAGATTTATTCCTTTCAACCCAAAACCAGTGGAGCGCCTGGTGTGGCTCTATCTCCAGGCTTAAAAGACAACTGGGATTGGAGGGAGTGGGGGGAAGCTTAATAATACATCTCAGCCCAGACCTTCCTGTTTTACCCATACCTTTGGAGCCAGGGGCAGGCAGGTCTGAGGTGAGATGTGATTGAGGCACCTCATTTTATGGCTGTCACAGCCCTGTTACCAACTTGAGAGGGGTTACTCCAGTGGACTGAATATGCAGGGAAATGCTCAGCTGAAACACACCCATACAGGAAAATCAAGAACTTGTCCCACTTGCCCAGTCTCCCTCCTCTTACCCAGCTTCCAGGGAGGGCTGCCCACCCATTTCCCTCACTCACCACCCCTCCAAGCAAGTGGTTAAATTCAGCAAGCATAGTGGGAACTCAAAAACAAGCAAACTGCTTACTTGCAGCAAATGACATGAGGATTTTTTTCAGGTGTCCTGAAATAATTTTGGAGCTTTTAGCTCTGTCTTGTTTATTTTTGCGTCTGTTCCCTCCAAGTGCCAGATAAATTTATTAAAAATACGTGTGTTTTACCACGTAATATTTAAAAATCTCTCATAAAACCAGGCACATCCTTTTGGGCAGAGAGATTCTCTAGGAACAGAAAGGCAAGCTTTAAGTGACAGCCGGGGCTGAAGGGCAGGAGGCATACCAAAACCTTTGCTTTTCTAAACACTGCTGAAACCCAAGCAAATAGTGCTTTCTGCTTCACTACTATCTGCAGGCACTGAAGAACCGACAAGGAACTCATCTTTTTGTTAAGCATGACCACTGTGAAAATCGACTGGCTCTGCTCACCTCCCCTGCACTTCTCAGGCAGGAATTTAAACAGAATTTAGGTATATTCTCTAATTTTTATGTTACACATACGTAGACATTTCCTGTGACATAACAAGACAAACTGGTCAGGGGCAAAATGTGTTCCCACAGAGAATCCCTTTGCACTGTACGCTGTAAGCCAAGCTTTGAAGTGTGAGCTCTGAGTCCGCTCCCAGTTCTGTCTTTCTGCAGCCAGGGCATACGAATGTAAGGTGGGGAAAACGTGCTCGGTGAACTCTGTCTGCTAGTCAATAACTAACTTGTTCTCCTTACATTATCCTTAGGACAACTGTCTCCACGCCTGTATTTGCAGATCCGGAGAAAAGGCAATTTGCCGAGTTATAGGGCAGTCATGGGAGCAGAGACACTGCCTTGTGGAGTAAGAAAAGGAGGACAAGAGTAGACACAAGTGGCCTACTTACAGGGACGAAGTCCTGACAATTTGCTCGCTTCCCATTAGTTAGGTCAGCTCCCTCTGTGGGAGGCTGACAGTAAGAAACCTCCAGGATCTTGAAGTCTGCCAAGGAGATCTGAGAGAACATGAAATGCAGGGAGAAACGGGGGCCAAAGGGAAACCATTTGACTCCCTGAATATGAGATTAACATCATGAAAAGGCTGAGGAGAACTTTCTCCTGTCCCTCCCTGCTTTTGTCTCACACATAGAGTACATTTGCTATATAGAAAAAGAGCATGTGAAAGGGAGGAAAAATTTTACACTCTCTGGATAATTCTAACAATGCATTAAAAATATACAGAAAAGGAACAAGTTATTTTGATGTTATATATATATATATTTTTTTTTCTTTCTAAGACCAGCTCTTCCAGCTCTTAAATAATCTTTCACGTTATTGTCTAACATCATGGCTTTTTGAGCAATGTAACTTAAAAGCTGATAAACAGCATTTCCCAGCAGCCTTGCAATGGCAGACTCCAGCCCTGTAGCATCTCCAGCATCCTCCGTGGCGATCACAAACATCTCACCAGTTTCTGGGTATCCCAGGGCACAAGCTGCCACAGGTTTCAGCTGTGAACGCAGCAGGAGCACCTCACTGGGCTGCCAAGAACTAGAACAAATGTGCTCCTTCCTACCGAGCAAACCTCAAAGAAATTATCCAGCACAGCTTAGGAAGAACTGGGAAGCTCCATCGGAGATGCTTCTGAAATCTGGTCTTTATCAGAATATGCCACAGAAACAGTGTTTATAGTAATGGATTCTTGTCTTTGGGATAAAAAAGTATAAAATCATGATGTCATGTAGCACAAACTTTGTATGTGAAAAGAGAATTTGGAGAGCAGAGGATAGGAAATTGATTTTCACTGTGGTTTTAACCTTGATCATATTTGTTTAAAGAACTGAAGAGTTCTCAGCAGTTTGACTGTTTTGAAGAGTTTCCAGCAGTTTTACTGGGTTTCGGTTTTGTTTTTCCTTTTTTTTTTTTTTTTTTTTCTTTTTTTTGAGGAATAGTCATTTCTCTTTCCCCAAGAAAAATGACAGGAAGCATGAATCAAGACTGTTTAAAAAGTCACATAACAACTTCCTTTGTCCTTATTGATAACGTTTTTGGTTTTGTGACCTGAGTGGATATTTCTGTGTGTGTGTTCACTGGGGGAAATCTTTTTCCAGTGACTAATCATTTTGATGCAATATTTTACATAAAGCCAACAGTTGATCTTCTGTGTCATTCCTTTTGGTGTCAATAGGCTTATGAGAGAAGGAAACTGAAACACACGTAGAAAGAATAAATAAAATTAATGTTTTACAGGAAATTAAATGGATGTTCTGATGCAGGCAATTTCCACAAAACACAGTGGAGTATGGAGTGAATGTAGATAGCGATGGCCAAGGAAAAATTCCAAGGATCATCTTTAGCCCTTTGACTCTCTTTCCAGGAAACACCAACATCCTTTCAGCCTGCTTCAGCCAGCAAGAGGTCCCCAAGAAATCTGTTGTCATTTAGTAAAAATCAGAATGCAAACAATCCACCAAGTTTTATGTTTGGATACCACCTGAGCCTACATCACTCTGTTGTGATCCAGACCACCTGAAGCTTGTCACTGTCATTGCATCAAGGTTTAAGATTCCTTCATGTCAGAGGGTCCCCAGACTAATGACCAAAGAGATCTCTGCTGTTTCTGTACCATCAGTTGCCCCCAAAAATATCTTTTCAACTGAAGTTCTATTACAAAAGGATTACAAAATTATGTTGAAGTTAAAATATAGAAGGATTTGATTGTTGAACAACTGTTTTCCAAGCATGCTGCTGAGAAAAAGACAATGAGAAAAGGACTTCATTTATTCAGAAGGTATTATAAACCATGGATTTCCTCAGGAATAAAGATGTATTAAGTAGGCAGATTTTATGCTCCCAACTTGTATGTGAAAAAATCATTTGGTGAGCAGCAAAGCTAATGAAGCGCAGTTTCTAAAGATTTGCATGCCTTAAACACGACTGAACTTTACCACTAAAACAGTAACCCTCGTCTTCCTGACATCACTTACAACGTGCCCCTGGACCAAGGCAATGCAAATTATGATTTACATCAAGCCACATGCGTGACGATTTGTGAGGCCTGTACATGATAACTTTTTCTGACTGGATGCTACCAGAAAACGGAGCGCTGCCTTGAAAAGTTGTCAGAGGTACTGGCAGAGAACTAGTGGGATCCTCGCAGGCTCTATTTCCTAGCACAACACTTAACTTGGTTTCAAAGCTCCAAGGACTGGACTGATGATTTTACAGAAATGTGGCAGAAGTCATTGTATTCAACAAATCTGAGAAGTACCCTAAGCACAAAGCTTGTGTTTTGAGGTTACCTTTGGGTTTCATTGCACACAGTGAGAAGCGAAGAGGGAAAGCCTTCATTTGACAATCTGGTTTTGGCTGAAGGAAGCCAATTTCAGAACCTCTGCAACAGGTTTTCCACCTCCATAATAAAACAAACAAACCTGCAGCAGAGATACACGATTTATATTTTATTCTGGGCCTTGCCAGAAACATCCTCTGACCTTGGAAGATTAACTGAACCTCAACATGTGCTAATTTTAATATTTGTAACTCCCCAGAAAACTTACTTGCTTGTGCCCCAGGTATCTTGCATATCCTGTTACTGGCTGTGAAGTGTACTGCGTTTCCAGGCTGGTTGGGTTCAAGCACAAAGCAGAGGAACATAAATATTCAAGAGGGAAGTCAGATGTGAGTGAATAGAATGAAAAGTCAGTCATGACAGAAAAAGCTTTTTTTTTTTTTTTTGTGAGCATCAGTGATCTGATGAAACGGATGGTATTTGCTTGGAAGGTAATGCAAATGATCGTTCACACAATACAAAGCGTGTGTAGCCTATTTCAATCAATCTTGCCTAGCTAAGGAAGACGGGTAGAAGAGATAAATGCCTCACACACCGTAACTGCTTGAACGCTAAATGCTAATATGAAGCGAACGCTAAACGCCTGCAGAGAAGCCATGGGGCCACAGGGGGCCACTCTACATCTCATTGCTGAATCATGCCCTGATTTCTTCCTTCTGACTTCACACCTTCTGCCGTTTGACTCTTCAGGGTATGGGGTGCATGTCTTGTTATCTCAGCCACACAAAGACTTGGGCAGGCAATTCCTAAAACCTCCTGGCTGGCCGACCCTGCACTACCCGTGTTAAACCTGCGTAAATCTACTCGAAGTCCAAATCTTCTTACCTTTTCATTAGAATATGTATTTTACCCAGTCAGCAAAAGCTCAGCTATCTGACTGTGAGTACGGCAGTAATTCATGATTTTTTTTGTATCTATACAAGTATGTTTGATGTTGTTTCTGCCTTAAAGGCTTTCTCTGTGAAATGTGTTGAACCAACAGTTTTTGTGTTAGTATATACATCTTGGTTCCTGTTTTACTGGAAATGTAGTATGCGTGACCTCATGGTTTTGTTTGTCATTAACGTGTGCAGAGGTTGATCAGAAGGTAACTTCTTCAGGCAACACCAGTTTGACAGTTTCTAACCTACTATTAAAATGCAAGGAATGCTAAAAAGCTGTATTTTGTGAGTTTGGTAACTAGGTAGCCTGGTATAATTACATTTCATGGTATAGATTTGCTGTATCCCACCCCAAACGGGTGCCCTTGCAAGGCAACGGGCAGGAAGCTGCAGCATCACAAAGAGCTCATAGCCTGAGCTGCAATCAGAGGCAACAAGGAAGAGATGTAAAACAATATGAAAAGAAAAGCAAGGGGGAGAAGTGTGACTGAAACAAAGATACAAGCTACCTTTGCATCTAAAGAAGTTATTTGGGATGTTTGACATTTCTTCGTCAGCCTCCTTTCCTCCTCCTCACGGAAATAAATAACCAAACACACAAATTCTTGCCCGATACGAGTCCCTGCTGTTTGCTGATCACAGAAGACATGGGGGAAGCCGGGAGCTGTGGAGGAGCTGGAAAGCAGAGGGCAGCCAGAGGGCTCCAGGAGAGAGGGCACGGGGCCACCGGGCAGCCAAAGGGCCACACGCACACAGCTGAGCAGCTGCAGCCACCGGGTGCTGGGTGGTGACACCTAGCACCTGAGAAATGCTAACTCAGAGCACACGTTTCCTTTCACTATTTCCAGAATCGCTCATCTTGTCCCTTAACAAAAGAAAAAAGAAATCACAATTGCCCTTACAAGCAGATTTTATGGACTGAGGCAGCACGCTCCTCCGGACCTGAGCACCACAAGAAACGCTGCAGCATCGGATGCTCTCAAACACCTCTCAGTCATCTGATTTCATTGCAAAATTATTCATTACTTTCATTACAAAGCTGAAAGCTCCTGCCTGGGAGTAACTGAAGCATAATTACTGGATGATTATTTTTTTTCCCTTTTTCACCTTTTTTCAGTTCAGTCACCAGCCACTTCCTCACTGGTCCTCTCCCCCTGGAAACTCCTCGCTGTTTCCGACGGGTTAATGAAGAACCTGTTTTGGTAATCAGTGGGTGCTCTGCTTGCTTAATCGTGGCACAGATACTTGTCAGCACCTCACTGCGGAGGTGTTTCTGGCAGGCTTCATGTTTGGCTTTGTAGCCTTCCTCCACAATGCGAGCCATCTCTTAATAAAGAAGCTGGTTTATTGACACTAACAACTGAGAGGGACTTTCCCTGGTATCTGTAATTAGAGCTTTGGTAAATGATTCTCCTGAAAAACTGATAGGAAGAAGCTATTCTAGAAAGGATTAGCTCTCTTTTAGTGCTGGTAAGAAGCTAGAAACAAAGCCGGGTGTTGCAACACCAACAAATCAAGCTGTGCCCCACCAACCATTCTGAAAACCAGCTCTGTGCAGATCAGTTTCCTGAAACAGAGACGAGGAGGATGCTGAGAGCAGGCTCTGGAAAGCTGTCTGTCTGTCCGTCTGTCTGCTGGGGGGCTTGGCAGCAGCTACCAACAGCAGGACTCAGGCCTGGGGCAGTCACACAAAGCTCCCCCTTTCCTCAGTCCCAAATCCCACTAACACAATCAGTGAGGGGACAACTGCCCTTGTCTTTGGGTACACATTTCTACTTTTCAAAGCACACATCAGCCGTTCAAGTAGCAGATTCTCAACACTACCAGGCAGAACAACTGCTGCCCAAGGTGCACAGGGGTACTCTGCTCCCCATGTCCTCACACCCTGAGCATTGCCTTCCATGTTTTTTGGCTCTGGGAAAACCTTTTACCTTTGAGAAGTGTCACAGCCTCCAGAGCTCCTCCTCCATTCCTGACTCTTCTTTCCAAGCAAGAACGATTTAGCTTTTTCCCAGCCATCCCCATTTGAATCAGCTTTATTTTATTTTATTTTATTTTATTTTATTTTATTTTATTTTATTTTATTTTATTTTATTTTATTTTATTTTTTTCATCCCCTCCCCACCATGCTGACACCTGCCTCAAGAACACAGGACAAGCCCATTCGTGCTCCCCATGGCTCTTCAGCCTCTACTGGACTGTGCTACATTTGTAGGCTTCCCCACAGGAAAACTGCCCCATCTAGGGTAAAACTACAGTAAGGCAGCAACAGTTGACAGCAGGGTCCAGCCTGAAAGTTTAAAGGATGTTGCCAACATTTGGAGTGCTAACCAGCCTTTAGTCAAGCATATCTGCCACGTTCCATGATTGTACAGTTGCATTATTAGTTTTAATACCATGCCTCCAAACAAATCTGACTGCTGGTAATGAACTTTTCAACCTCTGTTAACACAAAAAGCACTCATGTTCCTAATGCTGTCTGAGTAGTTACAAGGAAATTTGGAAGTAGGCTTTCCAAGGGGAAGAAAAAAAATCTGTACCCCATCTCCTTTAGAAAGCTGACGAGCAAAGTGCTAAGCTAACA